GGGCAGGCCGTGCGGCGGGGGGCGGTGGTCGGGCAGCTGGCCGCTCTCCCTGACTGCCCTGCTGGACCCAGCCTGACCCTGGTGGGCAGATGGAGGCCAAGGGGCCCGCAGAGCTCCCCCCAGGACCAGCCACAGGCACTAGAGGCCACGGCGGCCCCGAGGGCTGGTGGCCACGAGGTGGGGCTCTAGCGCCCCCTGGAGGCGGCGCTGGTACTGACGTCAGGACGGCGCCTTCCAGAAGGGGCTCCTGGGCAGCAGGGTCAGAGGACGGGACAGGTCAGCTGCCTGCTGGGAACCCCGAGGGCAGGGGCTGCCCAGCCCCCTCTGCCCCACGCACGTGCCGGGTGCGGCAGCCTGGCCCCCGCCCAGGCTGGGCTGCGGCTCGCTGCTTCTGCTGGCTCCCGGCGCCTCTCCTCAGCGCAGGCCTCGCCTTGTCTCGGTGCTGGACGGCGGGCTGCAGGCTCACGGCTCTCGCCTCTGCAGGGCCCCCTGCTGCGCTGGCTCAAGGTGAACTTCAGCGAGGCCTTCATCGCCTGGATCCACGTCAAGGCGCTGAGGGTGTTCGTGGAGTCCGTGCTCAGGTGCGTAGCGGGCCGGCCCGTGTCCGGGGGTCCGGCTCTGGGGTGCCCCGCTCCTGCCCCCTCAGCCCTGCAGCCGCTGTCACACCCCAACCGAACAGACACCAGCAAATCTTATTTTGCCTGTTCAAAAATAATAAAGCTTCACCGTGGGAAATTTAGAAACTAGAGGGACGCGGAGAGTAAAGTCCCCTGCATCTCGGAGGCCCTGTGGCTCCAGCTTGGGCGCGGTGGGCAGTCTGCTGGCTTGTGAAAACGAGGTCAGACAGGACATCCGGCCACTTCGGCCGCGGCCTTCTGGCCCGCTGGCCAGCAGCCCCCGTGGAGCTGGGGGGTCTCCGTCCCTTCGCGCTGAGCCCCTCCCAGCCACCCCCCACCCCGCAGTTCCCCGCACCCCCCATCCTGAGCCCCGGGGGCTGCCGTTTGCCCACCACGGGTGTCCCCTGGGCCCCTTCCCAGCCCTCTTCAGCTTCCTTAGACCAGTGTCCTGTCCTTCCATTCCAGGCCCCCCATCGCCCCGCCCCCAGGCCCCGCCGGCCTTCCTTCCCGCCCGCTGCCCCAGCTGCCTGCTCTCACTCAGGCCTCCAGCCCACCCCCAGGCCGCCAGGTTCCCCTGCACAGATGGAATCTGGCCCGGCTGGCCTCCTCCCCTGCACCTTCCCGGGCTGGAGGTGGCCTTGGGGTGCGCGGTGCCCAAGCTCACCTGGGAAGCCCTAACCGCCAGAGTGCCGACGGCCCCCTGGCTCTGGCCCACCCCCACCTACGGGCCCTTTTCTTGGAGAGGCAGAGAAGGGCGTCCTGGGTGTCTCCTTAAAGCTGCATAGAAGTACTTCCCCTAGGGTAAAGGCCAAATCACTTTTCAGAGCGATTTTTTTTTTAGTGAGCACAGTAAAACACGAGGAAGAATCAGGCGCAGAAATAAATACTGTGGCAAGCAAAGTCCCTCCAGCCCCCGCCTGGCAGCCCGGTGGCCCCTTTTGAGGCCGCGTGTCCCCGGCGGGGAGCCCCACTTCCTGCTCTGACCCTGCCCCCACCTGCTGACCGGACCCTCCCAGCGGCCTTTCCATGCCCCGTCCCGGGGACCCCTGAGGAGACCGTGTTGAGCCAGCAGGTTCCTTTGCGCGGCCAGGCAAAGGCCACCTGCTTCCTGCCCTCCCTGGGTGGCGCCCAGCCTGCCTGGAGCTGCCCGCCGGGCCATAGCCAGAGTCCCCGAAAGAGGGAAGAGGAGGTGCTGATGTGTGTGGATTGAGAAGAGGCAGAGCAAAGGGGGCGCACGGCAGGTGGCCCTCATCTCGGGGGTGCCCCGGGGCCCAGC